GCAGGAGAGGGATCTTGCCGCGGTGGCATCTCAACTCGGGATTCCCATGGTCGTCTTGAGATCGAACTGTCCTCGTGTGGAGAAGGTATTGTATCGTCGCGCGGCGTGGATGTCCCATGTCCTTGCGGGCGAGACATTGTCCCCCGGTGCCTAGGAGTTGGATGGAGTTGCTGGGGGCTGAAAGGATTCAGTACGGCTCTCGTGGAGTACGGATGATTTGAGTCTGGTGGCTGCCTCAAGAACGAAGTTTGTATAAGGATTGGGTCCGGTTCATCATGTACTCGTCCTTGCGTGCGTGTCCGTGGGACGGGCATTGGCGAGGGAGACCGGCGTGCCTCATTTGGACGATTTCCGTGCGTACCTTGTTGCATATAATGCCTGTGATGATCAAGAAATCGCCCCTCGATTTCGTTCCGTGCTTCCTGCAATTGCTGTACATCCCCGCCAAGGCCTTCGTCCAAGAGGTCTTGCCCTGGGCATTCGCAGGTTCCCCATTTTGAGCCGCATTTATAGCAGAAGAAATGGCCGCAGATGCACCTAGATACGTTCAAGATCATCTAGTCAGTAGATATATCTGGAGGAATGTAATGGAAGGATGAGGTTACTACCATGTCTAATGCAGAATATAGAGGGTACCGTAAGTAACTCACATCATGCGATTGCATCCTTCTACCTTTGAGATCATTCTCTGACAATGAGGGCACCTCCTCCAGCCCTCATCCAGGGCAATTATCTCCAAATCGGCATCTGAATCCGAGTCCTTGCACTCTGTCTCCTTGGGGTTGTGTGCCTTCTTGCATTTCTTGCAGGTCGTAAACTTACACTTGTGGCAGGTTACAGCGTCCTTCCCATCGTCCATTACGTTTTCTTCTAAGAGCAGGGCGCTACATCGTGGCTGGGCACACCACAGAGGGTCCTTCAGGTTATGCGCATGACCTACCTCCCTATACCGCTCTAGGAGATCGCCCGACTGCGTCCACGCGACGTCGTCCTCGGTGGTTGGTTGTCCATGGCATCGCGGAGGCCAGGTGGATCTCTCCCGCAGGCCGACTTCGAAAAATTGTATCAAGCAATCCCGACACAAAGTACATCCACATGGAAGCCGTCGTAGCCGGCGCGGAATTTCAAGGCACGCCACGCATGCGATGTCCTCTATATTGTCCTCGGGTGGATTTGGACTTTGGAATGGACGCATGGCATCGACTGGGGGCCGCTTTGTATTCGATAAATTGTATAGCACCGACGTGGACGATGAGTTATCCCGAGAAGGCAGAGTGTCGACGACGAAGGAAGGTATCTTAGGTTATTAATACGGGAAACGATAGCGAGTATAGAAGATGCTAGTGTCGAATAGCTATGATATGTAGGGACATCCTTTAGTATACTGACTTGGCCGTAGAGGATGTTGTTCATGGTGGCTAAGTGAGAGGCGAACGGATTGACTGCATGTCGCTGATATTCATGCTTCGTAAGACCTGGACAGCCCAAGCGAGAAGACATCGTACCTGCTATCGACTGCTTCGTAATGGTTTCCTTCATGCTGTTGACATGCATGTGATTAGCACAACAAAAGAGAATCAGTAACAGCAGTAGGAGTTACCCCGTATATACAACTTTGATTATAGTTAGAGTTCATTGTAGTGTTGTGGCACCCCCGGAAGTGATGTACAGCTTCGAAAGTTACCTCACAGCGCCTGCTCTACGTGCCTCTCTCATTGGTCCAGACTGAATCCCGTTTCCCGAAATGGAAGTATTAACTGAGCAGGGCAGTCAGGGGTATCAACACCTTAGGCACCTAAAGAGGTAGGTAACTAAGGCCCCTAGCGCCCATAATATAGGTACACTACTCCACCATGTGAGTCTAGATCACCGCTCGTAATAGTTACCGTCTACGCAAATACTGCTCCCCTTGTGTAAGTATGATATCTCTCCTTATGAGGTTGATAGAAGTTCTAAGGAATAGCTTGAATCAAATCGATATCGCCAACATGGGTGCTGCTATTTCAGCCATTTACGAAGAGGCGTCGGCACCCGACGAGCAAGAGAGGCAGAAAGCGAGGCAAGGTCTTGAGGTTCTTCAAAAAGGCAGTCTATTACAAATCAATTTGAGGCCAAATTGCACGAGTAGGAACAAGGTTTACTGCATAATCATCCTTCAAATTGAGAGAGTTGACCCTTTTCCGGGAGATTCCTCAATCCGGACTCGGTAGCCAAGACTCAAGTCCCCGGAATTCGCGCCTTGCGCATGTCACGGTATTCGAACATCGGTATCAAAGGCGTTGTGAGTAGAATGGATCCTTCTGAGAGCTTCGCTGACGGCTTTCACAGCCAAAGGGGAACATCTCTGGCGCCATCGACAACTACCTTGGTACCGCTAGGACCGGACTCAGCAGCGAAACTTCACTCAAAGGCGGCTTTAAGGTATGGCTAGGATCTATATGCCTAGGTAGGTATGCATTGGTGGAATCAATCGTCTAACGACACAATGCAGAAAATCATCTCGACAGCGCTCAAAGAGGTCCCTTTCACAACAGATGCGGGAGAGCGTGAGAAAGAGGCTTTCTTCGTCTATGTACAGCATAATAGCGTCGTACGCTTAGATGTTATGGTAGATTCCTCTACTATATACGCTTCTAGCAGAGGATCGCCTTCGCTTCGAGCTAACTTGGATCGCGCGGTGGCTCTGGCGGTGGAATTTCGTCAGAAAGGGGTTCAGCGACAAGTATGAGAATGCACTGGGCTGTGAGTCAGCAGAGAACATACGAAACACTCAATGTGCGCAAAATGACTAACACATTAGCATAGACGTAATCTGTAGGTCGACCATATCATCTCGAGCGTGTTGACAGATGATCGATTATCGGTATCCAGGCGATTCTGAAGAAGACGTACTAAAATATATTGAGACGATGGGTCGAATCTATAGCTGTGCACGGAAATTGAAGCATAGCCAACAAATCCTTCCTCCACCAATACCGGTAAAGGATGACGAGTAACCCAGAGAACTCACACGGCATATATTCCAACTCAGAGCAATCGAGGATCACAGAACGTCGCGTTGGTCGATATAGAAGGTAACCCTAGGAAATATATGAGGGATCTTTCTATCGAAAATATCGGTATAATTCGTAGCTGAAGCAGGCCAACTGAACTGGGAGGAGAATTTTGTTGACGCAACTGAGGCCGGCGGGTGTGAGAGATGACCTAGTGAGTATTAGAGACGTAGCAGAAAGGGGTCAATGGTCCTTTCACCAACATTTTCTGCAGCGAATTATCCACCACGTAAGGAGAGTCAGCTCAGAAGGAGTTTGGTATTTTGGGTATGGCGCTTGTTTGTCGGTTTCTCGTAGCATTCCACTCCCTACGCGGCTCTCGCATCATTACCAGTCCATCTCAAACCAAGTGACTCAGGGCCTCCTGGAGCTCTATATAGTATCCAAGTATTCCAGCATCCTGTTCATATCTTCATATAATATTGCTGAAATCCTTGATTAAATTCGGTTTCCTGGGGCTTCCTTTCGTGGTAAGTGCTGCCGAAGATACGACCCCAAGCCGTACGATAACACGCTCACACCACCAAGACCGATTCCGCAGTATACGAGCTTCGGAAGTTTCTGTAACACATCGTGTGGTTCGAGACTGTAGCGTAGACAGTCTCTCATGATCTGTGGCGCAGGTTCTTCGGTTCCCTTATCCGTACACCATGGTCCCTCCCTTCCTGAGTCCTGCTTTTGGCAGAGAGGTTCCTCCTCCCCTGAATGCCTTAACCGCTTCCGAGATGTAGATGATGCGCATAATCCCTGATGCTGCTCTTCGTATTCGTTTTCGAAAGCTAATGTACTCGACTTGCCCAACGAGTTGGGATCTAGACGTTGGCCGACCGCTGTTGACCGCGACAGCACTCGTTTTGGAAGCCCTAGATGATGTAGTCCTGTCGGGAGTGTGTAATCGCTGCTATCATGGTGCCTTGTTGAGCAAAGGGCGAGCTCTGGGAACGAAATGCATCCGCCATTTCTTTTGCGTGATACGATACGGCACCGCCAACAAAGATCCCCTCGCCGTGACTCGCATCTGCTGCAAGGGACTTCCCATCCGTCATACCAAGGCCGGCTTTTCTCAGGACTCTTGTGTGGAGCGCATGGGTGCTCTGCGTCGAACGTATTAAAATACGAGCCCATCGCTATAACTCGATCGCGTGTCGGTCGTACGAGGAATTTTCGTTATTATGGCTAAGCTAACGGAGAAGCGATTTGGTTAGATAACAGTACAGGCGATTGGAGTTTATGAAGTAATTAGGGGAATAACATACCTACCACCTCTATATATGTGAGAAAACTGCTGGCGGCGGCAGTCTAAGAAAAAACATCCTTCAATAGTGCCATAAGAGTTTTGTGCTCGCACTTGGTGACCGCTAGCAAAAGGGCACGTCCATCTACATCAACTATAACGTAGACAAGCTAAGTTTAAAGACTTCCAATGCCACGTACGGAACAAAAGGCCCCTGAGGCTTGCAACTGACAGGACAGGAAGCAAGCACAATGTGAAATTAGTGGAAGCTAGACGTACGTACCTCGCACTAAGCCCCTGGCTACTTACCTCATCGACGACATCAGAAGAAGTACCTGAACATATACATGTAGGCAGGTAGATACCCTCAATGAAGACTCATATGAGCTATTTGTCACAAAGGCAGTCTAGTACCAGACTATGTAGTCACACGCAACTTGGTAATGAGCCCCCATTGGCCGCAAAGGTAGGATACCTAGTCCTCCGGGCAGGTGCCGAGCATACCCCCTGTGTATTATGCGGGCCCGTGCCGGCCTCCTGCCCGGTTCTTTCCCCAGCTGAGAAGGGTACCGGCCGGAAATGGTACCGTTCTCCACGATATGACACCATCGAGAGGCCATTAGGAGACATATGTATTCAATTAGTAGTGGGATCTTCCAACAAGCGAGGAAGCAGTATGGCCTAATGGTCTACAGCCTTCCTTAGCAAGCTACTCCCGTATGGAGTAGTGGTTAACTCACCGGCATCCGACTCAGTCAGAAAGCCGGGTACCCGGGTTCGAATCCCGGTGCGGGCACTCTTTTTTTCCCCTTTCCTTTCCTTTCTATTCTGTGTTCTCCAAATATTGATCCATTGCTTTAGGTACTACAGCATTTCATTCAAGCCCATGTAGGTCATGTATTTAATTTTGCTCTCTCAATTCGAGTTTATTACTTCGCCATGACCTCGTTTGTAGGCAGGCATCTCTTTTATTCAGTTTATGCCTTTCCTCCCCGTGTTGAATACATTCGTACATTTGATTGTCAACCATACACCAACGTCCTATACGAGGTATGTCAACGTTTACATTGCCTGCCCAGGTACCTAGATATAACTATGAGGTAGTCTGCGAACAACAGTACGCATCGGGAACATTTGGACGACGTTAGATATTATTATCATGATGCGCTGGTGATGCTTTGCGCCCCAGGTCAGTCAAGCCCTGAAGATTAGTAAACACAGTCCGGCTCTATCTCCTATCAATGTACTACGAGGGTAGATCATCAGCTAATGAAAATCTCGGAATATATACAGCACACGATCTAGACAGCTCTTTACGGCACCAGGCGAACTACTCCTGCCATCTTCTACCATCTCGAGACCATGAATGCGACATCCTCAGCCCGTGTAGGCTTTATGATCGACACCCCCTTGTCCAGCTCCTGGCGCCGTCGATGCTCAATAATAACGACACCAACTATGATACATCCCCATAGAATCCTCGAATCACTACGAGAGCCAATCCATATTGTTACCTGGCCCAAGCCACTCCAGGAAAGGGCCCTAAGGACTTCGAAATACTACGCCGTAGCCCTTCATACCAGATTCGCTCGTTTCGCGCCTCAAATGGACACTACATAGCCCCGGCTACGATTATTTCGATCTGGGAAACGGTACAACGTCGAGGTACGGCCTCATGTACGGACTCTTGCTCCTTGTGTAGCGGCTCAATTTCCACGATCCCATAACGTCCTTATGTGCGGATTTCCTGCTGCGCTTCAGAAATGCGGCAGAGTTGCCAAATATATTATCATCGTGCTCGAGGAACTCGGTGCCCTGCTCCCAACAAAGCCCTACCTCATAAACTGTTCGAACTACTGGAATGGTTGCTCTGAAGGAGAGGGGACAAACACAGAGGAACAAGCAAGACGGCATAAAACCCCTGGTTTGACAATCGCTGCAGATGTCAGGAGACTGAACTACCAGAGGTTCCATCCGCGATGTCTGGATGCTGCAATTCTAGACCTATCGGGATTCTTCGCGCGCAACGAAGCTGTTTCTACTCCGAAACCCCAACCTCTCCTCCTATACGGTGCGCAAGGCAATAAACGATGAAATATGTACATTATATCGCACTGATTTCCATCCAGTGGAAGCTACTGGTACTGTCCGCTTCAACCTAGGCTCGTATACAACACTCTACACCTGATTTCTGGCCGCCGGTTGGCGTAGAACTGAGCCAAGACTCTCTCGGACATTACCTAGGCTACAATACACCAGATCACCATTGAATTCGATTTCCTTACCTAATAAGAAGTTAGATCTGGTATAGTAAATCCTGTAATGCCGAACTTGGGTGCAACCGCGTAATAGCGGTAATTTAGGTGCTGACATGTCCACGGAATGTGAAGGGATAGCCAATAGGGGTTGATAATTCCGAAATTCATCGCAGCTTAGAGAACAAAATGGGTAGGTCTGCTCAGCCCCTATTAGTGACAAGGACAACAGTCGATACATATTCCATTCTGGAGACTAAAAATATGTTCCAGCCGTTTGAATTCATGCCCGAATGCTAAGAAATTACGTCGCCACTAGGGCATGCCCGCAGACTGCCTCACGACAGCTTACATCATTCGTTGTGTAGCCCCATCAGCCGTATACAGAACCATGCCGCGAGGGGCGCTGCTTTGGGTATTGGGAAAGCAATAAAGAGGCAGATCTCAACATTCCTTAGGTAATTTGGTCTTACCTTTTTGCTTACGAGGTTTGAATCCCTGAGAATCACCCGAGGGGATTTCCTAACACAGCCCTAGCGGCTCTTCGATTTGACTATTAGCTGACCGTTGACCTGAAGTCCCGAACAGTCTAACAGAGGCAGCCAGCTAATTATATAAAAGCTATATAAACCTATGTGAAGCCGGAGTTCTTCTCCCAAGAGCGACAGCAGTTTCGAGACTTACACAGATGTCAGTCACAGTTCAGACAATATGTTGTTCCTCTACCTATTCCTAACTTTCCTCGTCTCCCTTACTTCAGCCCAGCCGGTCCTAGGTGAACCAGTAACGACCGAGCTGAGCCCTCGAAACGCACCTCTAGTTGATTTCAACGCCGCACGCGGTGATGACCCCAAGAAACTTGGCACTCTCAACCTGGAAGAGGACAAGGGCGACCGGCCCAAGGCCAACACTCCTGACTTGTACATCAAACTGGACAAGGCTTTCAACGGACAAAACAGGGCACACTTCCACCATAAGGCTGGGTACCGCAGGTGAATAGCTCATCCCCATTGTATATCTTGACGCGATTGGGGCTAAGACGGGTATTTCGGTAGGGCAGAATATCATGCGCTGAAAGGCAAGACCAAGGCGGGAACTACGTATTTCATCACGTACACATTCGCGCTTGACGTGAGTTATAAAATCGCTCTTTTCTTTGTCTCTATAGGAAAAACTGGCAATAATAACTAATACGCCGTTGCGCCGCGTACAGGAACTCCCCGACGGCCTCATCGTCTTCCAGTGGAAGGAATACAAGGCCAACAACGACAAGGACGGAGGCGCCAACATCCCCCTGGCCCTCGAGATCCGCAAGAACAAGCTCGAGTTCTCGCACACCTTCAAGTGGGGGGAGGGCCGCAAGGTGCAGTGGTCGCAGGACGTCAAGGCGCGCACGGAGTACAAGGTCGGCCTGGAGATCCTGGCCAAGGCGGACGGCGGCCACGCCAAGCTCTGGCTCGACGGCAGGCCGGTGACGTTCGACACCACCAAGTCTCAGGTCCTGACCGGCAACATGTTCCCCGGCCAGAGCGAGCCCAAGTTCGGCATCTACGGTGGTCAGACTGTCCAGGTCGACAGTTACGTCTCGCAGGTGCAGATTGGCACGAGCAAGGGCGATGTCGACCAGAGCTATTTCTCTGGTAAATGAGGTTTTGGGGTTTATTTCCTTTGGCTACGATACTGAGGCGAGTCTAAGTCGGAACGTCTGGCAGAGTCTTTGTTATAGCGGCCTGTCCTTTTATCATCCCTGGGTACCTACTTAGACATTTATAAGTTGGAATCAGTTTGGCTTCAGTTAGCTCTACATATCGCAAACCATACCATCTACTCGTATTTCCAACCCGCCGCCCGTGCACCTTCATCCAAGAAAGGGGCTTACCGGCCATAATTTGAGTCGCAATTCACTCCACATATCAATATGACGTATAGCGATAGTTTTACAGACCCATATCAGTCGACCCTAGTTTTCGGCACCTTGAGAATTTAAACCCCGAGAGGCAACGGAGTTTGACCAAGGACCCCTGCACGTCGGGAGTTCCCTACTCTTCCTATAGGTACCTGAGTTCCTGCCATGTTGTAAGTATATACCTAGCCTGGAGTTGATTGACAGGATTTCCATGCAATTAGCAAGCACTAGTCCGCGTCAGGCCTTCTGTATTACTCAGCTCGGTTTGGTTTCGACTCCGGATCGCGATGGTCGACAACCTTCGCATCATCCACGGCTTTGGCCTAGTAAACCACTTGCTGACGAGCTACCCCTTAAGTCGCGGAGAAGCATGATCCAGTATTCTTTACATCCCTTGCCCAGCCGACTATATATTTACATGGCTATTCATTGCTTCTTAGCAAGCTCCCAAAGCAGCCACTCCTTTCCGACTCGCTCCCCTCAGCAGACCATGGCAGTCCAAAGTCCCAACGGCCACGGCCCTCCAACCCGCTTTGCCGTAGCGCTGTTCCCGGGCTTCCAAGCGCTGGATGTCTTCGGGCCCCTCGACATCCTGAACATCCTGTCCAAGCAGACGCCTCTTTCGCTATACATCCTTTCCGCGACGCTGGACCCCGTGTCGACTAAGACTTCCGCCTCGGGACACAGCGTCGGCCAGGCCGTCGTCCCAACTCACACCTACGCGGACAGTCCCGACGACATAGACGTGCTGCTCCTGCCCGGCGGCGGGGGCACGCGGGATCCGGAGAACGTGCAGGAAGTCGTGGACTTCGTGCGCGGTGCATACCCTCGCTTGCGATACCTCCTCACGGTGTGCACGGGCAGCGCCGTGGCAGCCAAGTCAGGTGTCTTGGACGGAAGACGCGCGACTTCGAACAAGAGGGCATGGGCATGGGTAAGCTACCCTCTCTTCACTTCGCTTTCTCCCTCTTCTCTGGTTCCTTCTCCTACCAAGTCTCCTAATTTACCCCTATTTCCCCCCAAACCCAAAATCGACTTATCTCCCAAGAATTGAAGTACCTCATCTAATACCAACGCAAAAGGCCACAGCGCAAGGCCCCAACGTGCACTGGAACCCCCACGCGCGCTGGGTCGCAGACGGCAACATCTGGACGTCGTCGGGCGTCTCGGCCGGCATCGACATGATGTACGCCTTCGTGGCCGACCAGTGGGGCGAGGACGTCGCGCGCGGCTTGGCCGATGCGTCCGAGTACGTGCGCAACACGGACCCGGATGTGGATCCTTTTGCTTTTGGCGAGAAGAATGGCCTTCCCAAATAGATGGAGGCTAGGAAATGAGTAATTCGATTCGGCGGCTATTATTCTTGCGGCAAAGGATGGCTTGCGGGTTTGAAAGGTACGGGAGTGAACTGGATGAGAGGCGAAAGAGCATGATATTGCTGCAGTAGCAATTACTACTAGGAATACCTACCTACCTAATCAACATTGACGATTAACGCCGTTTATTCGCCAAATTCAGAAATGTCTTGCAATGGGGCCGGACACGATGTCGTAAGTCTGCGTGGGCATTCCACCAACAGTTATCCCTACAACACATAAGAGAACACATATTCTGCGGCGCGGAAATAGATGACAA